TCTCGCATCCGGATCGACAGTGGCGTTGTTCTCGCGTCAAAAGTTCGCTGTGTTGGGGTCAGCGCTGCGCAAGGAAGCTTGCTCATAGAAACTTGCTCGGAGAAACTTGATAAGAGAACTTGCTCAGAGAACTTGCACCAAGAACTTGCTTGGAGAACTTGCTCAGGAACTGGCGCCAACGAACTTGCTTGGAGAACTTGCCTCCGTGCACTTCTAGCGCTTTCGGGCCACCCATCTTCCAGTTTTTCTGGAGGGTAGACCGCAAACTGGTTGGTTTCCTTTTGAAGTTCTCCTTCAAGCCAAGCCAACGAAGGGTACCCTCAAAAAGAGACACCCATGTTTTGACGTCCCCACAGACGCACATGTCTGGTTGATTTCATTACGGAAAGCCAGGGCCCCGTCGTGTTAAACATGGACTCCTGGTCCCGTGGAACTTGTCTGGCTCTTTGTTCAGGTCCCTTCCTGGGTTGCCTCGAGGAACCAAATTCCAAAGGTCCCCGAAAAAGAACGCGCACACACACACACACACCTACACGCACCTCATTCCATTCCTGCTCGAAAAGCCTGCGGGTTGGCTTGTCCGGTCCAAAAAGGGCTTTTCAACATATCGGTTTCCATCAATTTCTTGGAATGGAAGAACAGGTTCGGGATTCACTGGCCCAACCGCAGAACATCGATCACCTGAGAAAAGCAAACTAAGCCATACCTCTTACATCTAGCACATACCAAGACCCAACAGGTGCTTAAAACAGTGCCCTCTTTTCGCCCCAACTACAGCCCAACACCAGCCCAAAAAGAACAGCAGACCACGACAGCCCCGAACTGCCCAACAGCCCATTGGGGCTTTCTTCGGGATCCGCTCGCGAGGATCCCTGGTGGTGGTTGTGGTGAGTGTGGCGCTCTGGGCCTTGCTGATGCTGGCGTGGCGCCCTGAGATCTTCGAGTCTGGCGCCAGCCAGGCGCCGATCGATCAAACGCGATCCGAGAAAGAAAGAAAAAATATAGAACAAAAATCGAGGGAGCATTTGAGTAGTTGGTTCGGCTCCTACCTTTTGGTCCTACCAGGATGGTTATGAATATGAAGCTTTAAAATACACACATAGGTCTTACTACAATACCCATTCAGCTGGGAGTTTCCTCCAGTTCCTGGTTTGGAACCTCAAGCGGCGATCGGTTCAATGGAAACCACCCGTCAATCTATCAACTGAAGGGGAAATCCAGTCACCCCTGTTTTAGCAGAGGTTCGGTTCCCACCTAGTTGAGTGGAGATAATGATAAGTAATACCCATAATGAGCTTTGCAGCCATGTGGGTAGAACCCACAGTCAAATGGTTTTGGGCACTCGCTTGAATGTTTGTTCTACTTAGGTAACCATGGGGCCTGGGCGGAACATCCAAGTTATTTGTGAACCTCCTGCTCCTTATTCGGGAAAACGGGGGAAGGAGGTTTGCCAACAAAATTGAAGCGAACACCTTGAGGGCCTGCGACCCAGCGGGACTCTGCCTGGAGCACATGTGGCTGTGGGTCAAAAATAGGTATTCAAAATGGAACCCTAGTATATGGAAACAAAGACTAAAACCTGCGGTCCCCTGATGGTTTAATTTTCACCCATACCCATGTGTTAAATTTAGGTTCTTTTTGAGTTGAGAATACGTTTTTGTGGTTTGGGCTTAGGTGCCTTCATCCCTGTCAGCACGTTTGCAAGTGCCGGGGAGCCTCGAAGCTAATTCGCTACCCAGCGATAAGCCCCTGCATTTGGCTTCGACCAGCTCGACTTGGAGTGGCTCAACTGATGAATGTAGGTGACGAACCAGCTCTTGACAATCAATGTCGGGCTTGGGCCCTTTCCAGGATGATGTGTAAAGGCACTCCAAAACTAAGCAACCAATGTGGGCAGTTGAGGAAGCACACTTTGTGGAAAGTATCAATTGAGTGGCAAGACATAGAGGTCTAAAAAGCAACATAAAGCAACCTATGCAGCCAGATTGGCAGGCAACAAAAGGACTCGGAGCAAGTCGCAGACCCAGATTTAGGACCAAGTAGTTGCGGGGTTGTAGCGAACTTTAGAAGCACATTAGGTCATGGTCATAGGAGATAGGAGAGCAATGTATGTAACGTGTTAGCTTCAGACATTAGGGCAAGGCTGCAGTTTGGTCAAGCTTGAAGTTTGGCCTGTGTGGCTCCAACTGCAAACGAAAGGCATGCGATACACACATGATCTCGCATGATCCAATGTACATAGAGCACACTCTGGGGTGGGGTCATTGGATGTGGGTTCTAGTTGTACAGACCCCCTAAACCCCAGGTGTGCGCTTTTTCATGCGTTTGTTTGTTTCGTGTGTTTTCTTTGGGGGGGGGGGAGTTTGTCAAAATTAAGGGGGCCCTTTTTAATATTCCTTGAACAGCCAGCTGTTTCTTCTGCAGTTGTTCCAAATTAGGGGGGGCCGTTTTGATATCCCTTTCAAACGTTCGGCCCCCAAAGTGAGACCCTTTCTTGGGGGCACCAGTTTGACAGGAGGTTCCTCGCTGGGTGCCGCGGAAAGCGCGGGCCATCCAGCTGCCCAGCTGGAATCACAGCGATGGCATGGACCGAGACCTGGCGCCGCGGTTTGGAGTGGAGGGGCGGCCATTCTTTTGTGGGGGTGGTTGCCCTCCCACCAGCGACTCCATGGGCAGGCGCGCAGACGTAGAAGGACGATTTCCTCTTGGAAAGGGCTTTTTTGCACTTCCATGTTAGTTGGTGGGAGGTTATCACGGCCGGACCTTCAGTCACTTCAGTCAGAAGGTTTCGGGAAGGGGCGCGGGTCTGGAGTTCTGGCACGGAACTTTGACGATTTGGGCAAACATGCGCCCGGTGTTGCAGGAATTGATTCGGAACTTCGACTAACAATTCTGCGGAACCGTTTTGATACTTTTCAGTTTGCGCCACGGCTTCGAGGAACCCTTCGCAGATCACTTTGGAACCCTCCCAAAAACCCTTTTCTTCTCGACAAGCTCTGCGGTAGAGCTGTCCAGGCAGCCCACCCCTCCCATTTCTGTCTGAATCAGTGCCCAGTTTTGCTTGTTGTTCTTTGCTTTTTGTCTCTGCAGGGGGGGTGGCGATTGGGGCCGGACCTCCAGTGCCCGTTTTTGCTCTGTTGTTGCTTTTTGTCTTTGGAGTTGGCGTAGTTCCCGTTTTTGCTTTGTTGTGTTTTGTCTGTTTGTCGTTGGAGGGGGGGTGGCTATTGGGGCCGAACCTGCAGTTTTTGTCTTGGGAGGGGACGTAGCTATTGGGGCCAGACCTTGAGTGCCCAGTTTTATTTATTGCTTTTACTATTTGTCCTTTTGTTGTGTTCTTTTTGTTTTTGGGTTCTATACCGACAATTCCACGGCCACTGGAGGTTCTGGGTAGGGTCGGGGAAGCACAGGGTTCGGCGCCTTGAAAAGCTAACGAGAACAACTGTTCGGCAGTCTGCCACATTGGTGAACGGGGTCCTTCGGTTGGGGCATAAAAGTGGCTGAAACCCTTCCAGTGCGGCAAATCCAATGCTCTCATTCTTGCTGGAAGGCTTCTCATTTTTCGAGTTCGAGAAAGCTGTGTGTGTTTTTCGCATGGCCACTGGAGGTTTGGGGAACATACTAATGCGAAGACGAACAAAACAGCAGTGTGATGAGGTCGGGAGTTTGTTCGAGAGGAATCGAGCCAGTACCCAACCTCGTGGATCTTTATTTGAGGGTACCCTTTGTTTGATGGTTTTAAAGAAATCCAAAAGGAAACCACGCATTTTGGGTGGCTCCCCTATCTAGCGACGAACCCATATCCCCATGAAACCAGGTAGAACAGCATTGCTCACTCCCCCAGAAAAGTGTTGAGGGAGATTTTGCCAGACCCAGCTACCAACATTGCCTCAGTAAGAAATTCGAGCCCTGCCAGCAAGCTCTCCCACCATTCAGCCTGTGCAGCCAGCCAGCCACATACTTGAAGAAGGCCCCAAGTCCATAGCAGCAAGCCCCTTTAACCTGACCACTTACGTACCCTGCCCCGCAAAGTAATGTCCAAAGCAACCTTAAAAGGCAGCTGTAACCCACTCATAAAGCGTATCCTGGTAAGTGGGTGCAAAACCCATGGTTACTGACCACTGACAGGAGCAACGGTCAATACAGTATGTCCTTGTCATGTTCGATGAGGGTGGTGGCGTTGGGTCACTCAAATTCCGTTGGGAAATCGGATTGCTCACCAAAAAATGTCATATCAGAGGACACGACAGTGATTAACCTTTACCCCCATTTCAGTTCCATGGTGTCCCAATCAGTTGGTCTCCTTTTGGCTTCCCTTCCATCCCAAGAGGCGGTTGAGGTTGAGACCTCTCGCGCGCCGCTGCCGAGTCCCGGGTGCACTTGGACGTGTCCTTCGCCTCGGAGGACGTCTCAGGGAACGCCTCGGAGTCCAACGCCACGGAGGCGAACACGACGGAAGGCCCGGGCGGCAGCGGAAGCGCTCGCTTTTGGGCGAGCGAGCGGCGGCTTCGCACTTCCAACAGCGAGCCCAAAAGGGCCAGGCTTGTAGGTGGCCCGGATCCAAGCTGGTTGACAAAGGGGGGGTAAGGCCTATATTAAACCTCTTATAGTGTGCAAGTTGTTTTTCAAGGCAGAATCTAATGGGCCCTTGTGAATGGACCGGTATGCAAGTGGGACAAATTAAGGGTCCATTCACAAGGGACGATTAGATTTTGCCTAGAATCTTAGAACCAATTGAATTTTGAGGTTACGAGGACAACAACGGGGACAATCCAACTTTCCCATGCGGAACAACGAATATTCTCCCTAACTTCTTTTTGTTTACCAGGGTCAAGGCTGCAAGGTGGACAGGGTACCCCCAGTAGGAAAGTAGTCTGCCACCACCTTCCCTTTGGTGCATGTTGCTTGGATGTTAGGACTTTAACTGTTTGCCAACTAATGGGTTTTCCATTAAACCACTAAAAGTTAAACTTTTAGCAGGGGAGCGGAAAGCAACCGAGTTTCTGTCAGCTTCCATGATTGTTTGGAGGCTAAATTGCAGCGCGGCGAGGGCGTGCCTTTGATGTCCCAAACATCACTCACTCACCAGGCTCACGGTGAAGGTGATGTCTAAACCCAGGGGACTACCTCTGGGTGTGGCCCAAAATAAAGGGCCTATGGTTACGCCGGTTTCAGTGATAGTCTCCATTTAGCAAGGTGCCATTGTTGTAGCTTTTTTGTCAGCCACAGCCAATATGAGCAGGCCTTGACCTTCCTTGAAAAGAGCGCTGCGACGTTTATATAGGTGTTTTTGGGCCTCCACGGTTCCTGAGTTGGACGTTTCTTGTCGCTCTTTGGGGCGCCAGTTGAGTGGTACGCAATAATTAAGTTCCGACTATTCCTGGCCAATCCACTCGGAAAGGTAGGCTTAGGGTAGACCAAAAAACGACACAGCAGCACATCTGATTTGTTTGTTTCCCCAGGCCACGACGTTGGGGGAGCTTGGGGAGGCTGTTCTTTTCCACGGCCAACACATCGGACGAGCACCCGACGAGCACCCGCTCGCCAGGCCGAAGGGCGCGCAAGGGCCGACGGGAGTCCCAGCGCATCGGCCATTGAGATATCCAAAAAGGCGAGCGGAAGGCGGAAGGCGGCAACGCCCAGACCAAATGTCCGGATCTCGGCAAAGCCATGGGAAAAACCCATGGGTTATTTTCATGGGTAGGGATAACCATGGGATAACCATGGGTAGGGATAACCATGGTTATCACCTTTAACGGGTAGGGAGAACCATGGGCTATTACCAACTAAGTATGCCCCGTTAAGTATTACAGTATGGTAGGTACTTCTCGCAAGTAACCATGGCACGCGGCAAAGCCCTACATAAAGGGGCAGTACTTCTCGCAAGTACCTTGGTAAGTCGGATATAACGACGGAACTGTACTAGGTTATTACTTAGCCAGGGTACTTAGTGAGTGGGTAGTAAGCCTGGTGAAATGACCCACAGGGAGACTTATAACCATGGCTTTTGTGGGCTGGAACCATGGTTATTTTACCGCTAGGTACAATGCCCCTTTAAGGGAACCCAACCATTTTGCTCTGTCTGTACAGGGTGGTTCCAATGCTTCCCTATACAGGTACATGAACCTGGGGTAGTTGAGGGCATTCCTTGTAGTCTCAGCCGCAGAGACCAAGGCTCATGTCAACAGTGCCATCACTTGAGTTGTTACTGAGTTCCAGGACTTGACACTTTTTGGGTTTGGACCATTTTAGCGGTAAGCAACAAGTGTTTTCCTGGCCAATCCACTCAGGATGGTATAGCCCTAGATCCATACCTGGCCATCGCGCTTCTGTGCGTACAGAGTTAAGGGAACTCCATTGGAAGTGTTGGACGTTTGTCAGAGATGTTGCGGCCGCCCTAGCCTGGGTGTACCCCAGGCTACCGATGTTTGAGAGTGCCCAACCTCATCAGGTTTATATCGTGGTATTGTCGGTGTCTTTGTGCTTTGGGACGCCCCAAAATGAGAGGGTCTTCGTTGTGGAGTTCCCCTTAAAACAGAAAGATGGGGTACCTCAAGCAAAGACACACTCATCCTCCCATGTACTTCCCTGGTTTTCTAGCTTTTGGAGGTACTTGGGCCACAGGGCCTTGAGGAATCGGCTCTTCTACCAAGAAGAGGACACAGGCGTCAAATTCGAATGATGAGATTCAGATTGCAACTGACTTCCACTGCAAACGTCTTTTTTGTGGTTGAGCCAAAGTTTGTTAGAACCTCGCAGATCAAAATGTCCAAAGCCTCCTTCGTGTTTGCCTTCGCTCGCGATGGCAGCTGGACCTTCCTTGTTGTTTTTGGTGTTTTCCGCTTTGGCGATTCACAGCCTCTCAATAGGGACTATATATATATACCTTTGTATATGTATATATCATATATATATATATATATAGATATCATATATATATATATATCATATATATATATATATATCATATATATACATATATCATATATATATATATATATATATTGGAACAGATGTTTAGAGAAGTCTGCTTGTTTCGGGGGCTCTTTGGGCTCCATTTGTTTGTTTGCAAGATATTACATGTTTGTCTTGGGCGCGCATTCACCATGCAGCTTCAGGCTCAAAGTGTTCGCGCGAAAGCTTGGGACTCACACGAAAGAACAGCCGGCCCTTCTCGCGGAGCCCACTTTGAGGGAGGAATTGAAATTCAGCGTACACCCAGCAACCAGCGAAATCCCCGGAGGACACCAGCCTTTGGCCAGGAATTAGGAAAAAAAGAAACCTGAAGAAAGGTTGGTGAATATATCATACTATGGATGGTTGCGAAATCCATAAATACCAACGAACAATGGTTTCCCATGGTTTTAAAGTGGTGCAGGATTTCGTCCATCCACACTAAATCCCCAATGCAGAATGAATCCAAGTTTATACCCAAGTTGAGCAAAGGGGGCCTGCCTCCAAGCCCCCTGTTTGGAGGAAAAGTCCTGTGACCTGTGCTTCCGGAGTTCGCTCCGTCATGCCACATCAGTACACTCCATACATCGCGGAATGACTCTGACATTTAGTTGGGAGCCACCTCACAAGTGGACATACAAATTTTCATGATGTCTACAGGGTCAACTAAGCGTTTTGGCAGATGTTTTTTTTTTTTTTTTTTTTTTTTTTCCGGCGTCTCCTTTGGAAAGTCCGGACGGCTTTTGGTTGCAACCCTCTTTGCGGAGGTGCATTTTTTTCCGTTTCGCTTCGGCTCCCCAAGGACCTGGGGGTTCCTCCAAGAACGGAAAAAGACCAACAGCACCCTGAGCACTAAGGGGACAGAAAGGGCCGTTTTTTGTTCCCCAGAGAAACGGGGAAAAAAGCAAAAAAAGCCTAAGGGACGTAAAGGGGCCGTTTTTTTTCATCAACGGAAGAAAAACACACTCAAACAAGGAAAGGTGTCTCTGGACATGGGTCTGGTCGACGTTTTCTTTGGGTCTTTCGTGTTCGAACGCAGGCCAAAGACATGGAACGCAGAGCCCTTTTTATTGGACGAAGGGCGTGATGGAAGCAAGCGAGATGCGGCATGGTGAGCGCCCTTGGGGTCGACAGTCATGGACCCTAGAGATTTTAGACCAGGCTTTGTCTCAAAAAGGGGGGTTTGCCCCAACTGGCGGTTTTTTCCTTCTGTTTCCCTAACCACCCCCAAGTTGGTACCCCCGTAAGGATCCTCGAGCCATGGGCTCATGGGAGTTTGACTCCACAAGGCCAGTTTCTGAGCGGTGTGTTTGGAAGAATCCTGGTCTACGGGAAGTCCAACGGCTGAGAGAAGGGATCATTGCTCTTGGGAGATTCTGTTGATTCTGAGTAAGGATGTTGAATCCTAGCGCAAGGGGAACAAGCAAACCCTGCAATTTGAATGCGCGGCACTTTGCCGTAGTTTTGCGGTTAGATAAGGTTGGTTCGTTTGCAATATTTCGGGGAATCCACCGCATGGGCGGGGTGGGAAGCGGTGTCGTCTCTGCGGTGTGTTTGAGAGGCATGAGCCAAGCTGCGTTTCCAAGAGCGCTGCAAGCCGCTTCCATTTGCTTAAGAATATTTGTGGTTTTCCCTTGGTTTCAAAAATAATTTATCACTACTGGAAATATATATTTTTTCCAGGGGTCTTAACCAAAGCTTTGCCAATCGGAGAAGCTCGTTTTTCCAGACCCAGCAAAAGCTCGACGAAAGGCAATTCCATGCGCACCCGGCAATCGAAACCCGGGTAAGGGAAAGGGGAAATTCCCGGGGTTTGTCCCAAAATTGGGGGAGGTATCCCGAGAACAGTTTGTGTCCTTTTGATTTCCCCCTACAACCCACCCCAAGGATATTCCATCCCAACCATAAACAGGTGCGCCCGTTTTGATTCCTTTCACATACTTGTGCGTCGACTCCTGTTCCTTTTGTGTGTGCCTGCCGTTTTTTTCGGTCTTGGGATGGCTCCCAAAATTCCCCAGTTTGGGACTTGAGGGGAGATGGATCGCAATCGCCGGGTCTTCTCTCGAAACGGAGAGGCGTTGAAAACATCTTGGGAGTTGCTAGTCATGTTGCTTGCACGCCCCCCCGGTTGCCCTTCACCCTTAGAAAGGTGTCCCCGCAAAACACGCTCAGCCGCAAGAAGGGTTTCCATTCTTTACCAGGGTCACTGGGCAACTGGCCTCCTGCATCATTGTATTTGAGCCGAATGCAGAGGCCCCTGCTACTGGCTGCGCAGATACGCAGATTCGTTGCAGCCCCAGATTGCAAGTGCCATGGTTCCGGGCGTTGCACGGTTCTCTGCAAATAGGCAGTTCTTGTCACTCATGCTGGCTTACCCATGTAGAATCCAATCTTCCGGCGTCTGCTGCTCCAAGGTTATCCACAACGGTAAATAGGGTTGTTTCGGAATGCTGCACAATCAATGACGAATTGCTCGAAATGCTTGGTCATTTGTTGATTTCGTGGTGGTTTTCCATTGATCCCTGTTGTGTCCTTTAAGAATCCTTTTCACTTTTTTGCGACCAGTCACAAAGGGGTCTTTAAGTCTCTCACATGTCCATTAGATGATACTGCACACAACGCTATGATGCTGCCCTGTGATGAAGTCAACAGGCTTTCAGCCGTGTTGGTTGCAAGATGGTCGCACATTCTATCAGAAGGGCGCGCCTAGGTTCAAGCAGTGACTGGCCCTGCTGATTGCTTTCCCATAGAATGGCGAAGGCTGGCTACCCCACCGAGACTGTTGCTGTTGAGGTGGAAAATGTAGACGTCAGCGACCCTCGCAATGTGGGAGACAAGGCACCGGGATCCTCGTGCGCGCTGTATTCGTTGCTTGGGGCTCTGCATCCTCAACTGGACTGCATACCGGAGGTTCGGCTGTGCAGCGTGCAAGACATGGCAGAGGCCTTGATCACGCACAACCTGAAGAATGCCCAGGGCCGCGCCATTTTGCAGCACGGTGTGACCATTGAGTTTCTCAGCGACACGCTGAATGAGAAGATGCAAGGCTCTGAGCCCAGCTTGATCTTCCGAACAGCCTGTCAGGCATTGATGAAGTTCCGCATCGCGTATCGGCGCTATGATGGCATCGACCAGCTGCGCGGTGATATGCGGGACACCTCCCATGGAATAGTCATTGCCAAAAAACTTACAGGCAACCATGGAGGAAAATTGACTAGGTCCCCCAGTAGTGCCCTTTTACCCTTATTTGGGGGAGGGTTCCCCTACCAAAAAACGACTACAGAAAAAAAGGGCGCCCTTATTCTAACCTCTCCACTGGAGGACCTAGTTGATGAACATTGGGTTTGGGTGCCACTTTCTGTGGGGCGCTAAAGTCGTCACGGGAATCATCCACTTCTCACACGGATTTCACGTAATCCCCCATGCAGGCGATGGCCCAAGCGGACTTCATGCTCTTCAGATCGCGCACTTCGAGAATAACTCGATTGTGGTGGATGGGGGCAGTCAGAGCATTTGGATTCCAGGCAAGGTCTACAGTTTCCACCATGGCTTCCGCATCTCACTCCAGGATATCATGGTGATGCGGACCTCAGACACTTGCCCAATGAAACCTGACCTGTGTACATGTTGGTTTTGTATAGACT